TATTCAACAGGATATTGTCTAATTCCTTGTGTTTGCATAGTTTCTGTGGTTTCCTTTACCACTGATTTCTAGTTTCATTACACTATGATCTGTTAATATGTGTGGGATAATTTTAATGCTTTTGCATTTACTCAGCATGTTTTTCACTATTTAGTTCAGGCTAGTTTTGAACTCACTATGTACTTCAGCCTAGACCCATGACGGTCCTCCTACCTCAGCCTTCCATGTGCGGGGACTACAAGCACGTACCACTACACCCAGCCTAAGTATGCTTTATAGTCTGTTATATGGTCTATTTTGGAGAAAGTCCTATGCGCTGCTGAGAAGAATGTGTATTTTGTTGTTGGATGGAACATACTATAGATATTATATCCACTTATTGGGAGATTTGGTTCAATTTCTTTGTTGATGTTTTGTGTAGTTGACCTGTCTATTTGTGACAGTGAGGTACTGATATCCTCCATTAAAATTATATTGGTGTTCTGACTTTTTATATCCATTAATGTTTGTTATGAAGTTGGCACATGGTATTTGGAGCAGATGTATTAATAACTGTTATCTCTTCCTGCTGAACTGTCCCCTTCACTAATATGTAGTAACTTCCTTTGTCTCTTCAGATCAGTTTTCGCTTGAAATCCACTGTCTGAAATTAAAATGGCTACTCCTACTTTTTTACAGGTTATTGTAACATGGACTATTTGCTTTCCATTCTTTAATTTTTAACTTGTGAATTACTTTTTGAATTATATAATTTTTTCTTCTATAATTGGGTTTGTTTCTTTATCCATTCTGTCAATCTGTGTCTTTAACTAGAACTGACACCATTTACATTGAGGGTTATTACTGACAAGTACTTATTCCTGTCATCACATTATTCTTCTGTTACTTTTTTATTTGTTTTTAGTACCGGGGATCAAACTCACGACCTCATACTTGCCAAGCAGGTGCTTATGCCACTAAGCTAAATCCCCAGCTGTTACAGACTTTTTCCCCTCTTTTGCTTAGCTATTCATTGTCCCAGATACTCATTCTTTCTGAGTATCTGGCATTGTTGACTCCATTGTATCTTCCTAGGGTATCTCTGAGAATTTTTTGTAATGTTAGTTTGGTGGTCATGAATTTCTTGAGGTGCTCCTTGTCATGGAAATACTTTATCTCTCCATTGATATTTTGGGGGGGGTACCAGGGATTGAACTTATGACTTCATGCTTGCCAAGAAGGCGCTTATGGTGCTGAGCTAACTCCCTGGCCTCTTCATTGATTTTTTTTTTGTCTTTTTCATTTTTATCGGTACCGGGGATTGAACTCACGACTGCCTGCTTGCAAGGCCGGTGCTTATGCCACTGAGCTAAATCCCCAGCCCTCTTCATTGATTTTGAAGGAAGGTTTTGCAGGATACGTAAGTGGGGGTGAAATGTGCCTTTTAAGGCTTGAAACACTGCACCCTAAGGCCTTTAAGGTTTGTGTTAAGAAGTCTGCTATAATACTAATGACTTTACCATTATATGTGACTTGCCTTTCTCCAACAGCTTATAAGAGTCTGTCCCTATGATGAACTTTTAGCACTTGCACTATGTGGCATGGAGAGGTTCTCTTTTGGTTGTGGCTACTTGAGGTTCTATATGCCTCACTTGTCTGCATGTTTATTTCTTACTCTGTATTTGGGAAGTTTTGTGTCATTACTTTGCTTTTTCAGTTCAAAGACAAATAAGATCCTACACCAAAAAACAAAAGAATAGTCACAAGTTTAACCCTGCCCCAGCCAAGTCTGTTCCTACTCTCAAAAAAAAAAAAAAACCAGAGTCTCAAACCACCCATGGGAATTCCAACATTTAGAAATCCCAAGGAAAAAGCAGGAGGAAACTAGAAACTTTCCTGGACAGCCCTACACACTTCTCAATCTCTTTTACCAGCCTCACAACCTCGGTTTCTTGGTCTCTGTGCACTTGGCTTTTCCTTCACTGTAGGCCCTCATCCTATACATGTTTGGGTTCTCTGTTTTACTCAGCATCCTATCAGATCATTTCACTGTAAGCTTCACTCTAATTTGGAAACAAAGCTTTAAGCCAAGGTCAGGGGAAGAGCAGACTTAGGGGAGAGGAACAGATGGGCTCAAACTACCACTCTCAGTGACTCACCAGGAAGCCAGATGCTACATCTCTGGCTTTGATTTTTGATTCTATGTCTCATGAGAGAAAAGATAAATAGCTTCAACTCTGGCTCTGATGAGACATTAGCTACTCTCATCTAGTATTACCTTTTACTGTCTCTAGAAACTACAGAAAGCCAGGTGTGGTGGTGCACACTTGTAATCCCAGCACTTAAAGAGGCTGAGGCAGAAAGATTGCCACAAGTTAGAGGCCAGTCTGGGCTGCACAGTGAGTTCAACACCAGCCTGAACTACATTGCAAGAACCTGTCTCAAAGATAAGAAAGAAGGAAGGAAAAAGAAAACTAGCAGAATGGAGTCAGGTTTATAGTGTTTAAGGAAAAAATACAAACTAACCTTACATTTCTTTTGATGTCAGAAAAAGAATAATTTTCTTTTCCCATTACCACCCAGCACACTTACGAACTGGTGACTATATCTTTCTACGAACATCTGAATACAAACAACCATGACTATAATCTATTGCACTCTTAAAAGAATCCCATCAAGATACCTGACATAGCGGGCTGGGAATTTAGCTCAGGGGCATAAGCAGCTGCCTGGCAAGTGCAAGATCATGAGTTCAATACCCAGTACCAAAAAAAAAAAAAAAAAGGACACAACATGCATTAGCCATTTGCAGAAGGTATTGCTACGCCATTTTGTAAATGAGGAAATTGAAGGCGAAAAAAATCATTTCTACAGGGTCACAGAGTTAGTAAGTGTCCAAACCAAGTGTATTTTACTTTTTATTATAAAATTTTCCAAGCATGCAGAAAAATCAACTATATAATAATTATATGTGAGTAAAGCTACGCCCTCCCATGAACTGGGCTCCGCCATGGGGATCGGAAAGACCACTTAGCAAGAGGACAAAGTATGCTCTCTTGCAAACTGGGAGCCACCATGAGGACAGGGAAGAGACTACTCAGCAAGTGGACTGCACACCCTCCCATGAACCAGCCAGTACACTGGCAGGGAAAACAGAAGAGCACACCCCCTCCTACCACTACTAAAGAAACTGGCTGATTCAGAGGAATCAGGGTAAGATAGCAGTTAAGGTGACAGGAATTGCTTGATCTTTAAATTGACTTTGTAAGCCTGGAGCTGGTGGTCTGGACATCTATTTGGAGGATGGTAATGTACATTGTGGCAACTGTGGGAGATTTCCTTCTGCCTTTTTTTTTTTTAATTTTAAAGAATTTTAAACAAAACAGAACAAAATAGGACATAAAAAAGCAATATGAGATATAAATTTCAAAGCTAGACGACCTGAGATCTTCACTATCTATCATATTCTCTCTTGTCTTCTTCCAAATAGTTATCCATGTCTTCGCATACAGAGAATTCATACAAAACAACATAGTATGAAACTGATCTGAACATAATGAGGACGGCGTTTTAGGTCTTCAAACCAGACAATAGGGAAGTCACTAATGGCTGTCGTAGAGTTTCTTGTTCTTTTCAAAATAGCTGTCCATACTTTCATATATATTGAAATTCAATAAAACAAAACAGGCAGGTGGGGAGGGGTTGCTTGTTTTCCCTGCGCTCCAGGTCCCAGCATGGTGCAGATCCCAATAAACACCACTGGCTCCAGTCCTGGGCCACCGCAGCCTGTCACACTCACAGGCGCTTGGGGTGGGGGGGTTGCTTGCTTTCCCAGCGCTCCAGGTCCCGGCATGGCTTGGATCCTAATAAACGCTGGTAGCTCCCAACGTCGGCCACTGGAGCCTGCCATGCCTACAGCCGCTCACAGAATGGGGGGAGTCATTGTTTGGTTTCTCAGTGCTTCAGGTACCAGCTTGGCATGGGTCCTAGTAAATGCCAGTGGCTCCCATCCTGAGCTGCCACGCTCACAGCTGCTCATGGGGGATGGGGTGGGGTGGTGTGTGTTTGCTTGGTATCCCAGCATTCCAGGTCCCAGCATGGCGCAGGTCCCAATAAACACTGGAGGCTTCTGTCCTGGGCCACCAAAGCTTGCCACACTCACAGCCATTCACCAGGGGGTGAGGGGTTACTTGGTTTCCAGGGCTCCAGGTCCTAGCAATGCCAGTGGCTCTCATCCTGGGCCACCGCAGCCAGACACCATCACAGCTGCTCACGGGGGTAGGAGTGGGGTGCAAGTTGCTTGGTTTCCCAGTGCTCCAGGTCCCAACATGGTGGGTCCCAGTAAACACCAAAGGCTTCTATCCTGGGCCACCACAGCCTGCCACACTCACAGCCACTCACCAGGGGGTGAGGGATTGCTTGGTTTCCTGGCACTCCAGGTCCCAGTATGGTGTGGGTTCCGGTAAACACCAGTGGCTCCCATCCTCAGCTGCCACAGCCTGCCACACTCACAGCCGCACACCAGGGGGTGAGGGGCTGCTTGGATTCCAGGCGCTCCAGGTCCCAGTATGTTGTGGGTCTCAGTAAACGCCAGTGGCTCTCGTCCTGGGCCACTGCAGCCTGCCACACTTACAACTGCTCACTGTGGGGGAGGGGTTGCTTGGTTCCGGAGCTCCAAGGTCCCAGCATGATGGGTCCCAGTAAACGACAGTGGCTCCCATCCTGGGCCACTGGAGCCTACTACTCTCACAGCTGTTCACCAGAGGGGGAGGGGTTGCTTGGTTTTCCAAGGTCCAGGTCCCAGCATGGTTCGTATCCCAGTAAACACCAGTGGTTCCCATCCTGGGCCACCACAGCCTGCCACACTCACAGCTGCTCATGGGTCAGGGGAGGAGTTAATTGGTTTCCTGGCACTCCAGGTCCCAGCATGGTGGTTCCCAGTAAACGCCAGTGGCTCCTGTCCTGGGCCACTGCAACCTGCCACCTCACAGCTGCTCACCATGGGAGGAGGGGTTGCTTCTAGCTGTTTCTTTCTAATGAATTGACCATTTCACTGCCCAAGTTCTAAAATGGCCAACAGACCATAGAAAGACATCTCTTTAGGCCCTTGCTTGAAACCAACAGCATCAAAAAGCTGACTGCCTTCAGGGCCAGTCCTTTTGCTGGTTTTCTGAAATCCACAGTTTTGTTTTATTCCTGTTTTAGGTAATCTAAGCAACTAAGCTTAAGATAGCAATATGCAGTATTACAACCATTGTTAAATTGCTATCATATTGTTTTGAAAACCTATATAGCTATTGTTATTTGTTGTTGCTGTCACCTTGCTTTTGCTGTTGTTTTTGAGGTTTGTTTGCATCTTGATTTTTCTGTTTTCTCTTTCTTCTCTTTAAAATAAAAAAAGTATACAATAGATACAGTGACTGGGGATGAAACTGTTCAAGGGAAAGAACAAACTGTGAAAGGAAGAATGGGAAAAGGGAAAAAAAAATGTATAAAAAGACAGTTAAGGGAGTCACTCAGCTAGCTTCTGTTACATTATGCTATAGCAATATATCTGCACCCATGTTGGAGCGCCTGGAATCCAAGCAGCACAATTTGAAATAGCTAAATACTGGAAACAACCCAAATGCTCATCAACCACAGAATAGATAAAAAGATGTGGTATTTTTATACAGTGGAATATTACTCAGCTATAAAGGATACCCTTGAGGCTTTTATAGATAAAAGAAGGCAATTTGAGACCATTAAATATTATATTGTCTCCCTAGTATAAAAAAACTGAAAGAGCAGTAAGATCCTAAATGTACCAATAGATATTGCAATAATGAAAGGGAAAGAAAGGCTCAAAAGGAAGGAACAACTGGGATAGGGGAAAGGAGAGAAGGAAGAAGGGAAAAGATGACATAGGGCTTGGGGTTTAACTCAGTGGCACAAGCACCTGCCAGGCAAGTCGAAGGTCATGAGTTCAATCCCTGGTACAAAAACAAAAAACATTATTATGTATACAGACATACATACATATGTATGTATGTATACAAGGTAGATAGCTATACTATTAATCTGTTAGTTCATCCAAAAGAACAGTTTGTGCTTGTATTATTTGATCATTTTTACGCCTAAATCTTATAACCCGAACAACTATTTCTAAGATAACAATATGCAATATATTAATTTCCTATTTTTTTAAATTCTGTATTTCTATCCTTTTTTGTCTTACTTTTCAAAATAAAATTATAAAAAAATAACTGTGTCACCTAGATTAAATCTGAGCTCTTTAATATCCATGAATAAATTTACTTTTGTCAAACTATCTAAAAGTTGCATATATCATGACACTTCTCCACTTCTATATGTAACTCCTAAAAGTAAAGACTTTCTTCATACCACAATATTATTATCACATCCAAAAACCTCACAGTTCTCTAACTGCATCTAATATCTAATTTATCTTCAAAATTTTCTAATCATCCCTAAATATTCTTTCATTCTGCTTTTTTGTTTCTTTAGGATAGTTTGGTCACTTTTTCATGACATTAATATTTTGAAGAGAACCAAAACCACCTGTCTTACACACCATTCTACATTCATTCTGGTTTGTCCTACTGTTTCCTTGTAGTATCTCATTTAACTTGTTCCTCTGCTCTTTTCTTTCCTAAAAGCCCAAAGTTTGATCAAACTGCTTAATTAACTTTTTGGGTAAAAATAGTTCAGAATTAATGCCATGTACCCAAACTACATCACACTTGATTTTTTTCCTGAGTTTTAAACGAAAAGCAGTTTTAGAAATTTGTCTAACGAACTACTGTGAAACCTTTGGTCAACTTGTGCATATAGATAAATCATATTTAAATATTTTTTATTTGTTTTGCTTTTGTGGTTCTAGAGCTCAAACTCAGAGCTTCATACATGTTAGGCAAACATTCTAGCACTGAGCTACACCTGAGCCCTTTACATTATTTGATAACCAGTTGCACAAAAGGTACAATTCTCTTTAGGGGTAAACAATAAACTGCATATGTAGTAAAAATAGAATATAGACAGCATACTGCTAAGTGCGAAATGCTTGGATTCAACAAGAATATAGGAAAAAAATCAAAACAAAATAACTTCACCAAATACTTGAACGAAACAAACAAAAAAAAACCAAAACCTTTGGTAATATATCTATTAGACTATCAGTCAAACTTGAAAAACCAGTGCTGGCAGACTGGAAGGTGGTGGTTCACTTCCCTGTAGAAACAGATGGTGGCACTGCTAACTGGCTCAGGCTTTCTGGTGAACAATCTGGTCTTAGATAATAAGTGTCTCATAACCTTGGGTCCAATGATTCAACTGGAGGTAAATAACTTCAGCAGTAACACCTTTCCACACGATGTGTATGGTACTGGTCAAAATGAAGACATGTTTCAAATTTTCCAAACAAGGGGAAAACCAAGCTAACCAAATATCCCTGTATACATCAACACAATGGTATATTAGGAAGTCACTTAAAATGACAAGAATATGTATGTTCCATTTCAAAAACAGAGGCACACGGTCAGTCTCAGAAGCAGAGCCTGTGGTCAAGAAAGGCTCTGAGGCTGGTGCTGTCCCTGGCACACTTTCAGCCAACATTTACCTCCGAAGAATGTGTTTAGACCATGTGGATCTTGCCTTACCATAAGAGAGATGTGTGTTATCTACTTTTTGGGGGGTGAGGAGGGAAGCTATTGAGTATCAAACCTAGGCCTTGTAAAGTAGGGCTCTACTGATGAGCCACATCCCAGCCTGAGGTGTGTGTGTTTTCTCTTTGATATTTTAGGCACTGGGCCAGAATATAGGGTCCAGGACCCTAGCAGTGAGCTACACCACCCAACTCTTTTTTTTAGAGACAGGGTATCACTAAATTAATTACTCAGGCTAGGCTCATATTTACCATCCTCCTGCCTCAGCCTCCCAGAATGCTGAGATTACAGGTATGCGTCACCATACCCAGGTAAGTATATATTCTTATTTGAGTAGAAAAGAGTGATTACAGAGCAAGCTGTGGTGTCAGATTGCCTGATTTCGTATCTCAGTGCTGTCATTTATTAGTCACGTGACCTCGAGTAACTGACTTATGGAAGTTTTGCCCTAGAATAAATTACAGGACATTATGGTGGTGGAGGCCAAATCGTGAGGGTTTACCCTGAGGTCACTTTCTCCTTCCCCTATTACAACTTCCTTTTTTCCTTCCCAGGGAGCACGAAGAATATTCCAATCAGCTCCTCACGAGTCATCAATGCCCACTCTAAGCACCATCCCTGGTCAAAGGTTGCATATATCCCATAGCCTATATTCTGGTCAAAAGAGACAGCCCTGCCGCCATGACTTGTGTGCTCCTTCCCACGTCCTTAACTCAATAAACCTGTTCATTTTGTACATTTGTGTCTCTATTGAGCCAGAATACTCTATCAACTTAAGTCCCTAACTTTCCAGTTTCAACGTATGTGTCTAATATGGATATTACACTAATGCATAGCTAATAATATGACCTACTCCATAAAGTTTTTATGGGCCAGGGATATAGCTCAGTGGCACAGCACCTGCCTGAGGTCCTGAGTTTGAGTTCCTGGTACCAAAAAAAAAAAGGTAAGAAATAAAGTTTTTATGGGGTTAATATGAGATGAGGCCTTCAGAGTGCTTGGCATATTACCTGACATGTAGTATGTTCTCCATAAATGTCAGCTATTTGCATACTTTAACTGCTATAATATTTATTGATCACATAATATGTTCCAGTCACTGCATCAAGTGCACCCATTACATTCAGTCTCTATAATAGCTCTATAAGCTAAGGGCTATTATTAAGAAAAGTTAAAGAAATGAGTCCAGAGAATCTATGTACATAAGGTTAGTAAAGATAAGGTATACAAGTCTGTAAGTAGATCCCATATATAAACTTGTAAATTTAAATGTACTCATATACGTGCAAAGATAGGCATAGTTAGAACTTAGTGATCATTAAGTCCATTTGTCTAAAATTAGCCAAGTGTCTTTGTCTGTCTTTTCAGGTACGACCAAGCAGGTACGAAGGGCCCAGTCCTGCTGCTAGTACTGACCCATGTCTTTCCTTTTCCCCAGCATGGACTACAATTTGTATTAAATGTCACTTTGGTGCTGGCTTCTGACCAGCAACTGCTTACCTGGAGGAGATAGAGGAGTCCTGGGACAAATAAGGTGATTGGGTACAGAGACTGGTATGTTGCTAAGGCAAGAAAAATAGCACTGAGGAAAGCACTGCCTGTAAAAAGAAACACAGGGAATAATCTCGCCTCATCAATCAGGATTGGACACAGCAGTCCCTATCAACACAAACAGTTTCATAACTGCTCAATCACTGCCAGGTACTTCCTAATTTGCAGGTACAATGCAAATAACACAAAGAGATTCTTAGCTTGATTTCCCATGAAAAGAAACCAAGGAAGTCAAACCATCTACTTTTAGCAACCTGAAATTCCACAAATATATTTCTTAGAAAATTTTCATGCCCCAAAAATTTTTACAAACTTCAGCCCAAAGATGTATAAAGTCCACTAATACTAGGTCCTAGTTAATGTCTCTGTTTATTAAGCCTATGCTTACTGTTTATAATACTTAGCACTGTGGAACCTAACCCTTTGGATTTTTCAATACCTCATTCATTGCTCTTTGTAACACTTCTTCCTTATGTGCTATCTTGAGGTCTTTTTGTAATATTGAGGATTGAATCCAGGACCTTGTATGTTCTAGGCAAGCCCTCTAGCACTAAGCTATATTCCCAGCTCTATGTGTTTCTTTTTCTAAATCAAAGTACATTTGAGGAGAAAGAGGGTAGAGGATGCACTGTGTTTTCCAGGTTGGTCTCAAATTTCTGGGCTCAAGTGATCCTCCCAACTCAACCTTAAGTAGCTGGGACTATAGGAGTGCATACCATGCTATCACACTCAAGTATATTAATTTTTATTAATAATGTTCCATTACTCAGTGTGCAATGTATGTACCGCTGCTGTCTTGATTGCTCTATTTAGAAATTTTGCTTTATTTTTTTTCTTTAAAATAAAATGGGGGCTGGGGATTTAGCTCAGTGGCATAAGCGCCTATCTTGCAAGCACACAGTCATGAGTTTGATGCCCCGCACCAAAAATAAATAGGAT